AAAAAAAAAAATCTTACTGCTTTCTGCAAAGAGAAGATGTTGAGTATCCAATTGGTCCAAAAATGGCGAGCAGAGTATGGTAACCTCATTGAACAAGTGGACAAGGGAAATGCTAAGAAGCCCAAGTGTGGATCAGGTCGGCAACCATTATTTTCTGAGCTGGAAAACCTGATCTGTGAATGGGTTGCTGACAGGAGAGCAAAGGCTTTGGTTGTGAATCGGACTCAGATTCAAGAATTTGCCCTTGCAATGGCACCATAGTTTGACATAGCCCCCAAGGTCTTCAAAGCATCACAACACTGGCTGGATAATTTCCTTCAGCGAAAAGAACTGTCTTTAGTAAGATCCACAACATTGTTTAGGCTAGAAGATGCTCAAGTTATTAAGCGAGCACTTGCATTCAAGTCCCTTATTGATGATGCTGACTTCTCTAAATACAATCTTTCCAACATGATTGCTATGGATGAAACTGCAGTGTTTATGGGCCAATCATCTCAAACAACAATTGAACATCGGGGTGTCTCATAAATGTATATTCCCTCCACTGCTTACGAAAGTGCACGTTTCCTGTATTTTGGCAATTTGTCTGGATGGCACTAAAATCCCACCTTTAATCATTTCTAAGGGCAAGAAGGAAAAGATTGAATGTGTTTTGGGCATTTTTATTCTTGAAACTGAAAAAGCCTGGGCTATAAGAAAGTGGGTTGATTTAATGATGCCGCTTGTTATGCGAGGGAGCCAAAGAGGTCTGCTAGTCTGGGATGCAGCCAGCACTCACCCAGCTAAAGACATGAAGACATTTCTTCACGAAAGAAAAATAGATCAAATAATGATTCCCGCAGGAATGACGGCCTATCTCCTGACTCCTGATATTGCAATAAACAAGCCATTCAAGGAAAATTTGCACATGGAAATTAATGACTACATTGAAAATTGAATGGAGAGAAATCAGCGTGGAAACTTTCTGAAACCTAAACTGCAAGAGGTTGTGATTTGGGTGAAGAATTCATGGGAGAAAATCACTGACAGCTGCATTGCAAATGCACCACGAGCAGGCCTCCTTGACAAGAAGTACTCATTTAAGGACAGTGCTATGCTAAACCTGAGAGATTTGGTCCACTGATTCTGAAAGAAATGGAGTCATAAGAAATTCACCAGGAAATTCAGATTTGGATTGTTATGATGTTCCATGACTGTCATTGAATAAATGAGTAAATGTACCATAGATTGTTATACATGGAAATCATGGTAGTAGCAAGAAATTCTTGATACTGTAGGATTCATCAGTTTGTCTGGTTATGCTAGTTTGTGATGACAACTACTACCGTACCATATACAGGTAATAAATTTCCTTTATTTTTTTTGTTCAACAATAAATGTGTACCGTATTCTTCTTCATGGAAAAATAAGACATCCCCTGAAAATAAGACCTAGCGCATCTTTGGGAGCAAAAATTACTATAAGACACTGTCTTATTTTCGGGGAAACAGGGTATGAACCTGTCCAGTGGGAAAAGGAGAACGGAAACTCCCTAAAGTAGGGAGATTGATTTGAAATTTTAAGAGGAAACTTCAAAGACAGTAATAAAAACATCAATGTTTACCAAGGAAGCTTATCTGTAGAGGAAAAGGGAAAACACACAACTAGAAGAAAACAGGTTTATTAGAGTACAGAAAAACACGTGTGTGGTCTCTCCCCCCATTACTACTTCAGAAATGATTCAACGCTTTTATATTCACTAAAAATTGCTTATCCAAGGAATGGGCAATGTTTGTTGCCTTCAGCTACCTCTAGATGTATATCAAGTGACAAAGTATGCTACTAAGATACAATGGAGCAGAGCAAACATAGCTCATGCTCTCAATTTAGTAAAGGGACTCAGAGTCTGTCCCCTCAGTGACATGAAGGCTCTTGGAAAGAGTGTTCACTTTTGTAGAGGTCAGTATGAATCTCAGGGTCTAAGCATTTCATTTTACTTACAAATACCCCGTTCCCTTACCTATGGAATCCGAACTATCACCAACCTCATAACCCTTTTCTGACAATGAAATAAAAATATAAATTGCCTAAAATCAAACCCAAACTCACTACTTGCTAAAATCAAACCCAAACTCACTACAATGCTTCCTAAGAACAAGAGTCATTAAACAAATTACCTTCCATAAACATATAAATAACTTAGAATTATGAAGGCAAAGCAAAAGAGTGTAATGAACATTGAACTTGAGCCCAAAAGACTTGGGGTTCAAGCTCCAGCTGTTAACTACTTTTTTTTTCTGCCCAGAGGCTGATTTTTCAGAAGTCCCTCTCCAAGATTTCTCTGAGGGAACCTTGGGGCAGACTTTGACTGCCAACCTTTTTACAGCTCGTAGTCTGTTAAACGCCCAACTACTCCTGCAAGTAACTTACTTATAAACCTCTTTTTTAAAGTTTCATATTTACAAAAATGGATGGGGTAATCAATTCCTTTATCCCGGGATTATCATAAACAAATCACATGGCATATCTTGTGCTAAGGGTTTGGCTTTACAGTTTGAAGTACAATACAGAAAAATCTAGCATCATCACAATTTAAAAATAAACTAATGAGAATACTGAGAAATTTACCAGTTTTGAATCTTCTGAAATGAAAGGTCATATAGGTTACATACATTATCGCCAGAAGGTAGTTTTTTTTAGGCCAGCTCTAACGTAATAAATTTATAGAAAGTTACTACATTCAAGCAGTACATAGCAGCGTGCATCAACTTTATGGAGTTCCAGAGAAGTTCTTGGTACAAAAGGCAGGAAATAATTAAAAATCTGTTACTGAGGGACCCCAAGGAGCTAATGATAGTTCCCATGCTCTCCAGATTGAATAAAAACAATTAACAACAGTTACCCTCAAATAGACAAAGTAATTTAGTTTTCATGACAATGTTGTATTATTTTAAAAAATCCTCTTATGGTTTGTTTTAAATCTTTACAAAAGTAGCCAGCATTTCAATATTTAAAAACCCACACTATTGCACATTTTATTTAACTGACAAACAATATACTCTCTGAAGGAAGAAAAGGATATCTCTGAATTATTATGGTGGAATAATACAGTAGGGTCTTCAGAAAGTAAATCCCAAATCTAAAATTAGATGCCTTGCAGGGAAACAATTGAAGTTTTCCTGTTTACCTGTTCCAGGAATTGAAGTTTGAGAGGTATTAAGAAGACATGCTTTTACTTATGAAGAGGATGATCATACCAGGGCAGAGAGATGTCTTGGCTGTTCCTACCTTTTCTTTAATGAATATCTTTTTTGAACACCTCACAGTTTCAAAGCAAAGTCCCTCCACAATAATTTTATTGTATGCTAATGAGATTTGTCCCTTAGAACAACACAACTCACATCTCAGCCCTGGAAACACAGATCTACTTTCCTTCACTTAGTCCACAGTCCCTCTTTTCCCTCCTTTAGTAAGCACACACACAGTTATCTTCAAGTTTTGATAAGCGGGACTTTACAGCACCAGCAAATTCTCACTTCTCTAACCACACGCCACATCTCCTCACCCCTTACGGGACCCTTTTCTTCCCCATTTTCCCGCACATGAACATCTGGCTGGTTTTCGGTAAAGGATACTGGTGCCACATATAGAGCATGTGAAAGAAAATAATTCTTCTCTGAGGCAATACTTTTTTTTAAAATATGGAACGCTTTACAAATTTGCATGTCATCCTTGCGCAGGGGCCATGCTAATCTTCTCTGTATTGTTCCAATTTTAGTATATGTGCTGCCGAAGCGGGCACCAATATTCTTTTAGAAACATAATTTTATTATTTGTTTACTATGTATGAGAAAGTGATGATGCACATTTTCCTACATAGGAACATTATTTTTGGTTGATAAAAATTTGGCTTAATAGTTTCATAAGACAAAAAAGAAAAGAAAAAAAGAAAGAGAAGGCAGGCAGGAAGCAAGGAAGGAAAAGAGAAAGAACACAGGAGAAAAATAATAAAGGAATCCAATTTTCTAACAGGGAAAGGGAATTCACATATCTCCAAATGATGTTCTATGCTTGAATAATTCTTCAAAACCTAAGCAAGCTATCAATCCAAAGAAGAAGAAGTAATATCTTGAAGTGAAATATGTTTCAGTCCATCGTCATCATTAAGCAAGAAAGCAGGTGGTATAATTACCTGGATATGCATTTTAATTATTGCTTTTCCAATCAGAGTTGCACCAAAGAAAGTCCAGAAAGGTACGAGAAAGTGTCCACATGTTATTCCAGCCAGATCAAAAAGAGGATTTGGAATCTAAAAAGAAGGGAAAAAATGATTATAAAAGTGTATTTCTATACCTAAACAAAATAATAATAATTTTAGTCGACTGGTATGTGGCACCTGCTTGAAGCCATGTTTACAATGTAAAAGCGATGCATGAATTCCCTGGTCACTGAGACACTATTCAGAATGTGGTTAGGCAACTATCCTACTATGTCTTTAAGAAGGACCTCATTCATTTCAGGGACTGCTCTACTTGCTCATTGCAACCCAACTGCATTCTCCTTATATCATGTATGGTTAATACCCCTAGAGAGCTAGATAAACCCACTGGATCCTTCAGAGTTTAATGCCATCATAGATTTTTGACTGCATTTGGTAGTGTGGAACGTAAGGTGAGATATGACGAGCGCCTTAAGTTTAATTCAGTAAGTACTGAATCAATTCAACCAATTCGGGTTCTAAAATCTTTAAAAAGAAGTAATAATATCTAGAAGATGTTCACATCTTTTTAGCAAATAATCTTTTAAATCAATGAATACATTTATAGGTAGAGATGCTTTTTATTTAAAATTCATACACATTCTGTCTGTGCTTTCATTTTTCAAGAAAAAAAAAATCATTATTTGCATGTTCATGTGAACCCAAAGCCTTGTGACATATTTTAGAAAGAAAATCAAATGTGGAAATATGAGAACACAGAGATTCAGATGTTTTGAATATTCAGTCCCACACAAAGAAGTGATTCACAGTAAATACCCTTTCTGAACATCTCCACACTTCAAGAATGCCAAGAAACTATTTCATATAAAATGCAAAGAAACCACAAGGTGCTTTCAAACCACTTTATCCATTTTTCTCACACAGAAGTATTCTGCCCTTGTGGCAGCTGGCTGAACTCTTTAAAAGTTGATTTATGTAACTTCATTTTCAAACTTTCAAAAGAGTGAACAGATTTAACAAATCTATGTAGCTACTTTGAGATTTCCCTCAACTAAGCTTTTAATCTTAATTTAAGTGTTAAATTAAAATAACTTATAAACCAAACCTCCTTTTAATCTTAAGCCAAGTATGTAGAAATTAAATATAAATTTCTAGAATTAACTCATCAATTTATGTTAAATATTGGCTATCCCTCATTGTATATAAGTAGGAGTTAGTACAAATATTGGACTTCTTGTAGTTAGAAGAATGACAAAAGGGGCCACAATTTTGCCTTAATATGTCAAAGGTAAAGCAAAGTGCTTAAAGTGCTCAGCTGCTCACTGAAAGACTAATGGTTTATAACCCACTAACTGCTCAATGGGAGAAATAAGTGGCAGCCTGCAATGCAACCCTAAGGGGCAGTTCTAGTCTGTGTTAAAGAGTTCTATGAGTCAATAAACTTGACAGGAGTGGGATTGGCTTTTAGCTTTATTTGTATTACCCCCAGTAATAATAAAATCCCATTGAGTACTTTGAACTATCAAGTACTTTCTTCCGAAGGGATCTATTGCTTTACCTAGGAGTTGGAATTACAAAAGGGCTTCAAACCAACTCTGCTTGGTTCAGACAGGGACATCCGAGTGACACTGAAACATACCTGAATTTTAAAGTGGGTGAAGAGGAATGCTAACCAGAACTGGAAAGGGTTATGGGGTGAAGCCTTGCTGGAAACTTAATCTCCTCTTAGAAAACAAGGGTAGCGTGCATGTCGCATAGCAACCAAATCTAAAAACAGCGGTGCCTGGCAGCTGACCATGCCACTTTCAATGTCCGTCGTTCTTCACAGTCTGAGCAATAATCTAAAGTCATGCATCAGGTTCCTGAAAGAGCTCCCTATGCTCCTTCCAACTCTGTTATTCTAGGGCTTTGACCTGTAGTTTTTACAGCCTTGATAGCGCCCGATCACCAGCATTTTGCAAGTCCTATCACCTATAATCTTAAGAGTCCTGCTGTTAGAGTTTCACTTTGTTGGTCATGACTGGTTCTAAACCTTTTAATAGTTTTTCACTAACAACATGCATTAACTCACTTATTACCCACAACATTATATGGCATCATTACACCCCTTTTACAGATGAAAAAAGTGAGATCCATAAGTTAAAAAAAATGAGATGGGGGACCTGGTCTCAAGGAGTTCAAGAATGAAGAAAGTGTTTTGAAACGATAGTAGCAATTGTTTGATACTGCCTGATGTGATTGAACTATGAAATGATATCTATAATAGCACCCAATAAGATGGTTTAGAAAAAAAAAAGTGCGACAAGTTACTTGCCAAGGGTAATAGAATAACAGGAAGTGTGGGTCTAGATCCTCTACCCTTAGCCTCTAATCCATTTGGCATCTCAACTCAATTCCATTCTCAGGGGTGTATATAGTACTATTTACTTATCACTGCATTTCAATCTTTCTCACTGGCTAAGGCTCCCCGAGAGGCAACAGATCTTCTACGCTTTGTGAGTCACACTGTACAGTGGTTGACAAAGATGACCAATCACAATAAAAGATGGTTGGTAGCTTTTGAGCATTTATGGTCCAGGGACTATGCTAGCCAGTCTGCATAGATTTATTGTAAATGGCCCATTGCAAGGAAAACCGGATTGCTCCATTGAAAAAAATGAGAGAACCAGGGCTCTAAGAGCAACCTGATACATTTACATATCTAACAAGGAAGTATAACTAGTTGATGAACCCAAGGTTGTTAAGACTACAAAGGCCTTTCCCTGCCATGATATTAAAAAAAAAACAACTTTTATTGGGGGGCTCTTACATCTCTTATCACAATCCATACATTCCTCCAATGTGTCAAGCACATTTTCACATATGCCACCATTATAATTTTCAAAGCATCCCCTTCCCATTTGAGCCCCTAATATCAGCTCCCCATTTCTTCCCCATCCCGCCACGCCTGCCCTCCCCCATCATCCCTTGATAAAGTAGATTATTTTTTCCATACCTTACATTATCCTCCATCGCCCCTCAACCACTTTTCCATTATTTGTCCCCCTGGGAGGGGGTTCTAGGTTGATCCTTGTAATTGATTCCCCCTTTCTCTCCCCACCCTCCCCTAATCCTCCTGGTATCTCTACTCTCCTTGTTGGCCCTGAGGGGTTTATCTATCCTGGATTCCCTGCGTTTCGGGCTTTTATCTGTGGCAGTGTGCATATTCTGGTCTAATCCGATTTGTAAGGTAGAATTGTAAGGTGATGATAGTGGGATGAGGCAAGCACTGAAGAGCTAGAGGAAAGTTGTGTTTCACCGGTGCTATACTGCACCCTGACTGGCTCATCTCTTCCCTGTGACCCCTCTGTGAAGGGATGTCCAACTGTCTACAGATGGGCTTTGGGTCTCCACTCCATGCCCACCCCCCCATTCACCTTGGGTATGGTTTTATTCTGGGTCTTGGATGCCTGATACCTGATCCCATCGACACCTCATGATCACACAGGTTGGTGTGTTTCTTCCATGTGGGCTTTGTTGCTTCTGAGCTAGATGGCTGCTTAATTACCTTCAACCCTTTAAGACGCTAGATGTTTCTTTTGATAGCCGGGCACCATCAGCTTTCTTCACCACATTTGCTTATGCACCCATTTTGTCTTCAGTGATCGTGTAGGGAAGGTGAGCATCACAGAATGCCGATTGTTAGAATAAAGTGTTCTTGTGTTAACGGAGTACTTGAGTTAAGCCCAATGTCCATCTGCAACCTTAATTCTTAACATATAGATATGAGTACATAGTTCTATTCTCCTCTCAGTGTGTATATATATATATATATATATGTATATGCCAGTATTTAGGTCTCTATAAATGTCCTTTGCCTCCTGGTTCTTTCCTCTATTTCTTTTTTAATTCCCTCTTGTCCCACCATCATGCTTGGCCTTCATTCGGGTTTAGTAATTCCTCACTGCTACATTGCCCTTGATTGCGCCCCACTAGGCATCCTACGCCCTTCCTTCCATTGATTTCAGTTCACCTGATGTTCCCTTGTCCCTGGGTTGGTCGCCCCCCCCCTTCCTTTCTCCCATCTCCCTTCTCCCATATCCCCCCGGAGCCATTGGTCCCATTCTTTCCATCTCCGAATTATTTATCCCGCCTATCTTATCTAGATAGATATGCAGAGACATTAATCAGTGCAAAACACAGGCAAAGCCAAATAAAACAACAAAGGAAGTAAAAAACAACAAAACAATAAGAGGTGGGGCTTTTTTTGCCATTAGTTTTTGCTGGGGTGGGACACTCAAGATATATCACCTTCTAGTGCATAAGGGGGGCAAGGTGCTGTGTATCACTAGACAACAATTTTATGAATTTTTACTTATGATTATGGCTTATATTCTATCAACTAGGTACTTGGTTATTGTGGCCAATTGTGGTCAGACTGAAAAACAAAAACTGTGATTAAAATGTTCAACTTTAAATATGCCTTCATTATGCTAAACAAGGAGATGAACACTGGCTCCTCAAGGAATGCCAATTTAACAAATCTAAAATACACGACTCCAAGTTTTAGACAGAACTGGTTTCTCAGTGACCTGTAGCCAATGACATCCTTACCATAGCCATGGATGCTTCCATTACTCAGCCAAGAATTAAAGTCACTTCCAAGAATTAAAGTCACTTAACATAGGTTTCATGTAAGTTCTTCCTTGTAACTAATCCTTGAACCTTAGAAAAAAGTCTACCCATATACACTTTTATGGAAAGAATGAAGCCATCATTACTTGGATAAATGCATTTCCTTATAAAGCTTTCATGGGAAATTTGGATTTTTCTTTCTTGCTCTTTCTAAATAAATCAATTTAGATCGGAATTCATTATTGCATGATGCTTTGCTTATAAATCAATATAAATAAGAAATAAACATATCCAACAGAAAAAAAGTCATTTAATAAGTAAGTTGATGATTGGCAAAACTACATACCCAATAAAAGTGATAGTACATTTGTTCATTTTGCAGTACATCGTTTAAAAACAAATGGAATAAAAAACATACTAAAAAAAATCATATATAAACACCACACATACAATATATTTCTTAAAATATCTCACTTTTAATACAATTTACTTACTGAAGCACAGGCCAAAATTCCAAAAAATCCAACCTTCTGTACTAGATTTTGAACTGCCAGTTTAGCTCGGGAGGCAAAGTCCTGTGTAAAAGGAAGATTTCAAAACCTTAATGAAAAGTCCAAGGAAGAACAGGTGGCTCGTTGTACAGTTTATAACATTAAATATCTCACAATCTGAAGGCAATTATTTAAATAAACTGGATGATTATCAGTCATATCAAATTGTTCACAAAAAAGATGCAAGGAAAATTAAGGTAGATTGTTACATCATTAAAGTTAAGCCTTTATAAAATTTCAAGAATAAGCTCAAATGTCCCTTTATATTTAGCTTTTTCTCTTGATTATCTAGGGATGAAGGAAAGTATCACAAACCAACTCATTGTTTTAGAAATACTAGCTTACCAAATCTCTCTTTTTTCCTTCCATAACTTGCTAGGCTTAGTCTCCCATTAATATCAGAGTAGGAAACCATGTATCAATAAAGACATCTCTGGAGATAGAAGACTATTATCCCAATGTAGGCGCCTAGGTGGCATAGTGGTTACACATTGGGCTGCCAACTGCAAGGTGAGCTGTTCAAAACCACCAGCTGATCTGGGAAAGATGGGCTTTTCTGGAATTAAAGAGCGACAGTCTCGGAAACTCACAGAGGAAGTTCCACCCTGTCCGACAAGGTTGCTCTCAGTTCACATTGACTCCATGGCAGTGAGTTTGGAGTTCTTATTCTTTTTAATCATTATCTAAACAGCAAAACAGCACCCTAACTTTCAATAACCCTATAGTATATATAGACAGAAGATATTCTCATAGCCGGATTTGTAAGGTAGAATTAGGGTCATGATAGTGAGGGGAGGAAGCATTAAAGAACCAGAGGAAAGTTGTATGTTCATCAATGCTAAACTGCACCCTGACTGGCTTGTCTCCTCCCCGCCACCTTCTGTAAGAGGATTTCCATTTGTCTACAGATGGGCTCTGTCAGCTGGCCCTTTAATGTTGTTTCTCCTCACTTTGAAAGGCGGAACTAAATCCCTACTCACAACACTTTCTCCATCACCTTCACTTGCTGCATGAGCAACTTTTAAAGCATTGATGAAGGCTCCGACGCAGTGATCCTATACAGGATATCCAAGGTTGTGTACATCTTTAAAGGAGACTACAGACTCATCTTTCTCCCTGGGAGAGGCCAGTAGGTGTGAACCTTACACTATAATGTTTAACAGTTCTTACACTAAATTAAGGTTAATAAGAACTGTATATACCTGTTCTGATTTACCTACAAATTTGACTTAACAGCACACTTACGAACAAGTCACATTTGTAATTTGCATTGAAGATGTTTTTACATTACACAATCTCCCTGAAGACTTTACTAAGGATGGTGAGAAAGTCAGAAGGAATTAAAACCAATAAACTATTTTTAAAGCGATATATCACATTGTAAACACATTCAAGTTCAAATATACAAACTTTCAATGTTAGTCATTAGCTAAATTCTACGAAGCAACTTTGCCATTTTATAGTTTATTTCCAAAGAAGGAATTCTTCGGGGATTAGGCGCACTGTTTTAGAAGTGCACGCATGTTGTCAGAAGAAAAGGCGCGTCAGTGTCATTTAAAGGAGTAACGGATTAGACTGAAGGAAATTTAAGAGACATCATACCTAAATTTAATTTTTTGATACTGTTTGGAACCTGTTTGAAATAAACATTTTTAAGGCATCTAAGAAATGTGATCAGGATACTATATGCTAATTTGAAGTATTATAATGATGGTTCTGTAAAATATCAATGTTTTTAGAGATATCTATTAAAATATGAATGACAAGTCTAGCACTTACTTTAAAATACTTCAGGAGGGGAAAACATAGAAAAAGGAAAGGATGAATAAAGTATAGCAGAATATTGTCAAATATGAGTGACATGAGACTACATCATTTTGTAGATGTCTGAAAAATTTTCCAATTAGAGGCTAAATAAAATTATTTATTTAATTTATAACATAATATGTCAAATAGTATTGATAGAACCACAATTTCAAGACTGGTATTATGTTAATATTACAGGTTAAGATGCAAGGATAAGAAAACATGAATATTGTTACTGCAAAAACCAAGTTAATTATATCATATTGACTATTATTAAACAACCAAACTGCTACTACAAAGGCATTTTCTATTTTTCCATTGCATTAGGTGTGAAATGAAATGCTAATTTTTACTGATAAAACCTGTTTAAAAATATATTACAGTGTGCTCGCTTCGGCGGCATATACACTAAAATTGGAAAAATACAGAGATTAGCATGGTCCCTGTGCAAGGATGACAAGCAAATTTGTGAAGCATTGCATATATATAAAAAAAAGGAATATGATAGTGAAGTCAACTTTCTTAAGTAGACTATTATGAAATACACTTCCATTTCTTTCTGACAATTCATGCAAAATAACATATTTGCAATTCCTCTGGAGTAACTTAATACAAATTGACAACCCATAATAAATAGGAAAGTTATAAGTTTATTAAATATCAATAAATATGATTATATTATAAGCAGTTAAGAAAATAGTAAAATCACAACAATGCCTTCACTTACAGCACCTGAACAAATCTCATTTTATTTAAAAAAAAATTTTTTTTATGCTTCCAACATGTAAATTTTAATTACTGAAAAATATTCTATCATAAATATATATTTAAATGAATATATGGTTCAATGAGTTGGCTCAATGGTCGTGGAATGTCTATACTCTATATCAGTTCACCTCCTATGCTATTAAGAGTCACTCATTCTCACTACAATATCAAGCTTCATGGTGATTGGATTCTTTTTTTTTTTTTTTTAACATTTTATTAGGGGCTCATACAACT